AAAAAAAAAAAAAAGAACTCAGGACTCACACATGGAGAGAAACCTTCTCTCAGGCTTTCACACAGAGCAAATTGGCCAGGCAACGGCCGTGACTCATCCTCACGGGTAACACTGACAAAAGATCTACAAACTGCAGTACAAGGCTTCAGGGTAAATCCTGAGAGGATTTGACTGACCTTGTCAGATACAGAAGTTCCATTTCTTATTATATAGGTCTTGCTTTATCTTGGTCTTAACCATCCAGCAGAAAAGTATAAAAACGAGATATATAAAGTAAAGCCGTATTAATATGATGAGCTGTAAAAGGCTCAAGTCAATAACTTCTGAGGATAACCCACTAATATTATAGCCTGCTAGACAGTGTTGGATTGTTTAGCTGAATTCAAACATCTATAGTATTTAGATAACAATAGAATACCCACCTCTGATAGGACTAAACAAAAAAAAGGGATACAAAGGAAAGATCAATTTGTATTTATATATACAAAATAGTTAGGAGAGATATACAGCTACTTTCACTTAATTCAATGGGTAGAAAGAGGTGTACTAACAGTGTTTGGACAGGATATCCTGTCTGCTTCTTGTACTATGGATAACCACTAAGAAGATAACAATGTACAATGTATTCATTATCGAAACTGTCCTATTAATCAGCTTTGAAACTGTCTCATTCATATTTGTTTCTCAATAAAGTTAAAATTAAAAAAAAAAAAAAGAACTCAGGACTCAGAGGTCCCAGCTTCAGTCTCCCAGGAGCCAACAGTAACAAGACAGTCAGGGTGGAATGCGCAAGAAAAATCCCTTTGGAGACTCTTCATGAAGCTTCTGACTCCACAAGCTGGGCCTCCAGGAAGGTTCATGCAAAAAATGCTGTTGCGAATAGGCTTCAGAAAAAAGAGAGTTATTTTTGTAACAGCAACTGAAAACTTCAAGGAGAAATGGGGGTGTGAGATTTGCAAAGTGAAATATGATAAGCCACGAACTGATCCTTGTTGAAACCAGGTGATGCACACGGGGGCTCAGTACGTGAGCTCCCCTCCTCTTGCGTATGGACACATTTTTCCGTAATAAATGATTCAGGGTGCAGAGCCTGCCTGGCAAGTGTGAGGCCCTAAATATAGCTCAGTGGTGCAGAGCCTGCCTGGCAAGTGTGAGGCCCTGAGTTCGATTCCTGGTACAAACAAAAGAACAGGAAAATAAAAAGGACCCAACATAATAAATGATTCATGTTAAATTTACATACTCAGGGAGGTAAAGCTACAGAGAGCCGGTGGCCGTCACAGGCCCTCTGTGATCCACGGGTCCATAATATGCAACATGGCATTAAAGATAGGATCTTCTCTTAAGCCCATGCCACCACGGGCTTGTGGGTTCCAAGCGCCACATCAGTGGAGAAGTTCCACCTTCACATCCCCCCTTTCTTCTCCCGCTAACCCAAACCCCTTGTTCTGTGTTCTTCCCTTTGCTCTTCTCCCTTCTGGATATAGACTTCAAAGTGCAGATCTGTGTCTTATGATCCTTGTAAACTCGAACCTGTTCCAAGGGCCAGTGAGATAGCTCAGCAGACTAAGCATCTGCTTAGACAAGCACAGGGACCGGGGTTCCATGCCCAGTGCCCCAGTAATGCATGCTGTGCCAGGCTGGTCCTTGGGTGCACTGAACTGGCCACAGAGTCTGGGCATGGTGGCGCATGCCTGTAATTCCAGCGCTGGGGAGACTGAAAGCAGGAGGATCATTACATGGCCCTGTACCAAATACATTAAGAAAAAAAAACCTTGAACCTGTTCCCTCTGAGCCAATCTCTGGAAATGGAGATAATAACAGCTGCCTAGCAGTGTCCCTGTGATTGCATTTGATAGTGGGGGGTGGGAGGCGACAGGGGGTTGGGTGGGGTGGGGGTATCTAATGCAGCCCATCGCCTCCAATGCCCACAAAAGCCAGGGACAATCAGAAATAAGTGAAGCTAACTGTCCAGGTGTGAAGGAAAACTGACCCCCTTAGTCTATCTTTCGCTTTGCCACCATGAGCAGATATACAAGGGGGATAGTAAGAAAAATTCTATTTCACGAAGGGAAAAATGTGGGCGTGGTAATAAGTGATTAAGCCATCTGTAACCATGAACTGCAGCTCAGTTTCAGTGTGGAGGGGCCGCAGGGGTGGCAGGGATGGAGGGGTGCGGGAACACGTAGCTCCCCCGTGGAGAGGCAGTTCCGCTAGGCTTCACTGGTGGATGCCAAGAAGGCATGAGGAGCCGATGTTATGTCTTCCTGTTTTACAAGAAAAGCCAGAATTCTAAATTTTTTACATGAAATTTCCCAATGCTTGACTTTAGGCTCAATTATAAAAATGTTTAAAATTACAAAAACACTACAAAACCCTAACCAAGCCTGTGTGTGGGCCAAAATCAGCCTCTGGGCTGCCCAAGTGCAACCTCCCGCATGGGAATGTGTGTAATATCAATTCTTTTCCCCTTTCCCTCTTTGTAATCTCTCCCCACCTTTCTTCTTTCCCTCTCATTTTCTACATCCGTCTCTCCTGACCACGCCCATCCTTCATTTCTACTCTAAGTCCAAGTCGCGAAGGGGAACAGGATCAGGAAAGTGCCAAAGCCCAAGGAGATGGCATTCTGGCTGCCTCATAGTGGCCCAGAGCCTCCCTCCTTGGGTCCCTGGCACAGGATGGGCTCCCAGGAAGCCCTGGATGGTTGAATGAATGAGCCTGGCACCCGAGAACCAGGCCCACTTCCAGCGCACCTGGACTTACCTGAGGAACTGCCTCATTTTTCTCAACAGCCTTACGAAGCCGTTCGGGCCGCTCCATCATCAATGGGAACTGGGCAATTGACCGTCCTGGAAAATACGAGGGTGGAGGGACTATGTTCACCTATAAGCGTCCCAATGAGATTTCAAGCACCGCTGGAGAATCCTTTCTGGCTGAAGGTCCCACTAACGAGATCTTGGATGTCTACGTGAGTTTGATGTTTCTGGATTATTCTTTGGAGTCTGCGTTGCTTGCGTCCAAGGAACACACTTAGAACAAATAAGAAACAAATCATTATTGCCCAGGTCGTTTGAGATACCCTTAAATGCTTGGCAGCCATCCTTGCCATTTACCTCCGAGTGTACCTAGCTCAGAGAAACCTGAACCTCTCCCAGATGCTTGTTACCCTCAGATTTTATTGGCCCAGTGAAGCCAAGGTTATTTGTTGAACCAAATCAGAGGCAAACTTATCCTTTATTTTCAGGAGCACTGGGGCTCCGAAAAGTACTTTCCAACTAGTGCTAATTTGGCGTGCGTTCACTTCACAGCAAAAGAAAGCAAATGCCTCATGCAAGACAAGACCACTTCAAACTCTAACATAGCCAATGAAGAAATGAGCCCCAGCCCATGCCAGATAAAACAGTAAAGCTCAGAGTGACAACACTGGGGTATACCAGAAGTTGGAAATGAAAACGTTAAGTTACCCATGGGTTAAACATGGTCCCTATTTTTAAAGGAAAGATTAGAATCCAGTCTTCTGAAAAGATCAGTAAATAAAGGTTGACAAGAAATAAGAGCTTAAAATAACATTTGGATAGACAAGAGTGAGCCTACCCACAAATATATTTTCTCGATGTCCCCAAAGCCAGGTTGGTCTACATGATATTTGCTGTGTCAGAGTTTTAGAAATATTATTAATTGCATTATGATTACTTCTCCAACTCTATAGTTCTGAGTCCATTCCTCCTGGGTGTAGTGGACTAGAAATTACAAAGGAAGCCTTGTTATAGTTCATTTGGGGTGTTTTTTTAGGCTGTCCACCCGGTTGGTTAATTCCGGGTAAATTTTGAATGGTATCAGAGGTAAAGATGTGGGCTGTTAAAGGGCTGGGTGGTCTGAGAAAGGTGGCCAACAATAATTCCACAAATGTCACAGGGCTTACAGTGGTGGAATGAAAGGGAAAGAGTAAAGGTAGTGTGCAAAAGGAAGCCAAGGAATAGGGGCACCCAGCAGGGGCCTGAGCCAGCACCACTGTGTCCCTTGGGGGTTCTGGGTTCAATGTCATGTTCCCGCTGTGCCCAGGACTTGGTGCTGGTTCCTGAGGTCAGGACCCAGGCTGCTTCTGGGTCCCCGTCTCTGGCTGACTGGTGCACAGGGACCCACTTCGCAGTCAGAAGGAGTGAGCGAGATGATGATGACGTAAGTGGAAGAATCTGCAGCTCTGCCTCCCCGCGTGGAGGTATCAGAGACACTAGTGGGTCGACAGAGCTAAGAAGCCAGCTGGATTTCTCCCCTTCTTCTCCAGATGAAGGAATCAAGATCTAGGGCATTCCAGGGGGTGCTCAGGAACTCACAGCTGCTGCATAAAGCAATTGAGCAAACAGGGCAGTGGCTCCTCGCTCGGCTCCCATGCCCAAGTTGTGTTCTTGTCCCATGGCCCCATGGAGCACACCTGCCAGCCCTGTGACAGCTGAAGGACAGGGAGGCATGTAGGAAATAGATGTTCATTTCTAACTGTCTCTGTCCCAATGCTGTTCAGCTACCAAATTCCACTGCCCTGTGCAGCTTTTGCTGGCTCTCCCGGTTTGAGAGAATGAGATCCAGGGATATGTACTTCCCAAATTCTTTTTCTCCAACCTGATCTCTTCATGGATCTGGAGCTCTCTGTGGATGAAAGGGGGAAGAACCCTAAGATCCAACAAGGGAGGAGGGCTAGGGCCAACCTTGAGCTAGCCTCTCTGGCCAAGTGTAGGACTTGAAAGAATCTTAAAGTCCTAGGCCCGCCCTGCCCAGAATGTCACAGTCTCCTTTGCCTGACTCCTTGCCTAACCATCTAATGCTCAAACTGATTCTCCAGCAGCATAAGTGTATTTACCTAGTTGGGACATTGAGCCAAAGCTGCACCA